GAGAGAGATATGTACACCCTCAAGAGATTCAGCGCTTTCTAGGAGGCAGAAAGCAACCAGAAGCAAAAGAAACGAACAGAATTTCTTTGGACGCGAGGGAAGCGAAAGATTACGTCAGGTTCGTAGGTCGCGGGTCGGTCCTCTCTGAGATAGGATATGGATTCGATGGCGGCAGGGGAGTCAGGACCTTAAAATCGCACGGTTCACGAAAGTTCATTTGGGTTCCCTTCTAGCACCAGAAGTACATTTCGACCGCGTCGAAATGGAGATTGTAAGATTCCATCCGGAATCCAATGGATTCACGCATCTCCTTGCTCATATTCTATGAACATAGGCACTTTGGTTATATCCGAAACCCAGTCCAGCGAATAACACCATTCTACACGGGTGGCACGTCTAAAGAAGGACTAAGGCGGAACGGCGATCTACGACATAACCCAAGTTTCACCGCTTCCTATTTTTACTGACAGGGGACGTACGCATGGTTTCGATTTTCTCGTGACATTATGGTCTTTTGCCTCTAGTCCGGGTGCAGTGGTAATTGGGTGGAACGGTAAAGCGCCGTATGGATCGACGAGGACCTAGTATACCACCTGCTACTGAATGCTTCTCAACTATGCCAAGGAACAACTCCAGACAACCGGGAGCCACCATTCGAAGCGAGCTCGTCGGGGGTTTAGCTGGTGGTGAAACTGACAGGGCTTTGATTCCGATTGGTATCGTCTTAAGGTTCCAACGAATCCGCTACAAAGAAGTGAGCTGTTCCGGTAGACATATTGACAAATCAATAGCTAGGGTTCCACGAGGTTCGAAACTGATGCCGAACTTCACAATTTTGACTTGCTGGTCAAATGAAGTTACGCGACCAAAGATGCGAGCCATCTGACATGTTAACGTGCTAGGCTGTGATCCTAGCACACGATCCCCCGGCCAGTTAGTAGAAAGACATCTGTCATCCCACCATCCCATTTTGGCACATTCCCAGCTTGTTGTCATCCAAGTGAAGCTACATGAAATATTATACTAGTAAGGTCTGTCTCGTGGCAGTGTTGGATAAAAGTTGCATCTAGGGCCGGTAGGTAGACAGATCTCTTAGATTTAGCTTTCTGTTTAGATGTTGGTAGTCATCGTAACTGTCCAGGAAGTGTGATCTACATACTTTATAGGGGGCTTCGTATGGAACTGCTTGGAGGCGTTCGGCTGATAAGCGAGCTTATTTTGAAACTGCTCAGAGAGTAAGAGGACGTTGGTATTGAATCAGTTAATTGCTTCCTTCGACAATTCCGGATACCATTTAGGAAGTAAGTAAAACAGTCCTCCGGAGAGAATGCGTGCCACAAATCTCTTGCCTTTCGTACCTCACTTGATATACTGCTTATATACGATGAGCGTGTAACCGGCATAGTAACTATCCATACGGCCAGGCTAACAAGGAGCTAACTATGTATCCAAGGGTACGATGTAAAGTTACCACACCCCTGCAGTTTTCCTCGTTCCATGGTCTTATAGTAATTACAAGATTTGTGTATCAGTTCATTCGCACGCTGCCAACACTTTGAAGAGTACGGATAGCTGGATTTTATCACCAATTTGCCACTGAATATTACACACCTTGAAATGTAACCAAAATTATGATAAAAGAACAATGAAGCTTTCTATACACCCACAAACCTGGGTGAAGGTGAGGTTCGAATGGGTCTGAAAGGATGTAAAACCCTCTCCCCTCTGTGTTCTCTTGTTTCGTACTATCCCTTTCCAACTCTGTTTTCCTCCGTTGACCACCAACTTCGCAAGGAAAACCGGAGACACATTTTGGTCGAAACACATCGACGTGCTGAAAATACTACTTCTTCCATGATATTGAGAAATGTTATAAAAGTCAGCGAACCGGAATACTCTCAACGTTTCGTCATTTCCTGGGCATTTTCACGCTGAACATCTACTTCCCGCATCCTTTCTTTCTTACATGGGTACTGCTGTGAACTCAGGCATCGCACCAACCGCATTCTCGTCTTCCAATACCTTGAGCTCGGTAGAAAGCGGTGAGAAACTTTAAAATGTGCTTCCTCAACTTCATCAAATAAAATGGGAGGGCTGTCTACCCAGGAATGTCTGCTGTAATCAGTGGAAGTTTTGAGTATTTTCGCTGCGTAATATTTGTGGTTATTATATTTTGATTGTGTCACCTCACTTTATGGTTTTGTTGAGTGTCTGCTGATTCCTGGATGGGGCGTTCCGATGTTCTTCGTATTCTTCTAAATGCTTTGTCTGGATGCCTCGTTTCAGCAGTACTTCACGTCATTGCTTAATTTTATATTTTGTGTATCCACGGCATCTGTGCCAAGTCAAAAAGTCAAACATCCCTCATATACGCCTCTAGACCTACGCATAATCCCGAACGTCTATTTCATATGGCTCAGCCACATCACTTATCTTCGAAAAAGATTTGTTTCTGTTCCGGAAATAGAACTATAATCGTTGTGATCTAAAACCTTCTCAAAATTAGTGGTCAGAATCTTTTAGGCTTCCACTGGGTTATAGAGGAGCTTAACGAAGCATCATATAGAAGTGCTGTATTTAATCGAGGACTCTTTAGTTAGTCTTCGTGTAACTTTGCCACACCATGGAATTTGTAGCCCTTTGATTCATAAGACCCAACGAAATCCGTTGTGATGTATATCGATCAGACGTCTAGATTAATGCTGCATGCACCTCAAAATAACTTTTGGACAGCGATTTAGCCTCCAGTTACTGTCAGGAACAGATGTTATGCAACCAAGGACCTTCGGTAAACCCTCGGAAACCCTGATATACAAGGAGCAGAGAAATCCGGACAGAACTTCATACCAGCAGACTTTCAGTTATTAGTTAAGTCCTACTAAGAGAATTTGGGATGTGACACACAATTAACAAAGTTTGAGTGCTGCGGTATGCGAGTGTTTAAATTCCCGTTTTCAAAGATCTGATATAATGGAGAGATTCTTGGAAGCGGCGATCAAAAAATAAGGCAGAAGGTTGGTTGCTAAGGCGGACCAGTACATGTGGATTTATCATAACGGCGGTTATTTCTGAAAACGTCCCTTTGGTGATAAAAACGCCCAAGAAGCGGACCGCATGGCTAAAAAGAGTCAAACGCCTCGTGAGGGTCAGGAGGAAAGCATGGCATAAATGGGGCTCTCCAAAGGAGAGAACGATCACGACGCATATGCATCTCTATGAAATCGATGCAACATCAGGGTGCGGGGAAACAGGAGAACGTTGCAGAACTATTTAGACAATAACCAGCTCTTAACAAAAGTCAATAGGGTCTACTCAACTCGGATAACAACACCGTCCGGCGTCTCACAAGGAGCAATCCTAGGTCCATCGTTGTTCTTGCTATTCGTGAATGACCTTCCGTTCCCTGTCATTTCTCCGGTTCTCCCTTCGCTGATGGCCTCAAGTTATGGAGGGCAGCAACTTGCGAAACGGAATCGAGTGGATTACAGAACGATCTTGAAACACTAGGGGAATGGGCAACAAATAGCAAACTGGCATTTAACCAGGATAAATGCAGGTCCAGATCCACAGAAAGTGTCCTACTCCCCCTGTGGCTCATATCTTTCTCATACCGCAGCATAAAAAAATGGATTGAATGGTAATGGAGAAACTGAACAACAGTTCCAATCACCCGGGAGGCACCTCAAAAACACACAGTATACCACAGTTTGTGCATAGACAACTGGGTGCTCTCACGCCGGAGCTCTTTTTGAAACTCCACAAGACATACTTACGACCCCACTTGGAGGTCCATAACGTCTTCACTCCAACACGACCTAAACGACGAACGAACCTACTGGGGAAAGTTCAGAGGGAAGCCAAAATAGGTTCTTGGGATGCACCAGAAACCATATGAGGATCAAGAGATCTAGGCCCACACTCTTTCACTTGTCGAAGGGTATGAGGTGATTTGATAATGGCTTACAAAATATTGAACAACCCAAGTCACCTGAACAGAGGAATGCTACGAAGTGGCCACTTTTGGGATCCTTGTGTAAATCCCAAGAGAACTGCACACCAAAGTTCAAAAATTCGTACGAATTCAGACTTCCTCTGCCTTTGAGTCTAAGGGCACTGGAATGCGTTGCCAGCAGGGACAGTCTCCGCCCCATCTGTTGACAGTTTCAAGAAAAAGCCGGGTAGTAATGATGGGCAGTGGCTAGCAGAGGAATGCCAACAGAGACTGATCAGTTCGGTCCGATCAACGGCAGTGTAATACAAGCAATAACACTAAAAGGCTAGACAGCCATGCAGAAACCCACGGAATGTTAACTAGACCGTAGAAGTCAACCGCTGTCACACCGTTCCAACTATGTTTCCTCTACACCAGTTTCATTCCTACTGTGATCAGTTAAGCCCTTTTCATTCCTTTCACTGGATACGAACTAGCTTCACCTACCTAAGTTCCTTATATCTTCGCAACCCTCTCCTCTTACTTGGCTGTAAATAGGCTGCCCCTCAGTTCATTTTTCTCTGTCTTTTACACAGGCGCACCTGTCTTCTTGGGTTGACTCTTCACTATCCCTTACTCTCTGCAACGACTAGTCTGAACGACTGCCTGACGACTCGAAATCTGAAGAACCCAACTGCACCACAGTCCCAGGCAAACCAACCAACACTAAACCTTTTGTTCTGTATGCCAGAACTATGGCAGACGAGTGGCCGGATCTACTGCATCGAAATCCTCCAGAAACCTGGAGTCATTCCGTAAGACAAAGAAGTGAACATGAAGAAGTCAACTGGCTTACACAAGCTCGTTAAACAGATACTGGATGTTGAAACTATCAATGCTTGTGAGACGTTTGGACTAGGAGAAGAGTATAAAATATCAGAGACAGTTGGCTAACGTAATTTGCTTCATGTAGTCAGCTAGGCAAGTTAGCTTAACCTACGTGAACTAACACCCAATTCTGAGCACCATTGTACCTGTAATAATCAGTCTCAAGTAGCAATTTCCCGCCACAATTCTGTTTGGATAACTGTGGCTGATTGGCGGCTGGTTGTAATGTTGTTGTCTGTTGATAATGTCGATAATGTTAGTAATGTTCCGTAATGTGCGCAGCTGTTCAGATTTTGGACATCAATAAATCGGCCGCAGAGGTATTTAGAGTTTTCCTCTGTAAATAAGGGTTTGAGTTATCGTCAAAGTCGTAATTATGTATAAATATCTGTTGTGTTATTTAGGGAATAGTGGTGTTTAGCCGCACTTTTATTCATTAAATAATTGATATACATAGTCAGATGATAGAAAATTACTCGTGTATTCAGAAATTTTATGACCTATTCTATGTATCTATTCAGGTAGGGAAAGCTACAATATTTGTGTTATAAATTTTGTTTTTGGAATAACTTTTGCAACTTAGTTGTTGGCAAACGTAAATTTTTGGAATGTAAGTTTTTGGCTTTGCACTAAAAGTGTCTGACTTTAAGGAGCTAGTTACTGTTGAAGAGCTGTAAATAGTCAAGTGAGCGTGGTGACTGGATGGTGACCAGATCTGAAATTCGCATAACTAGTTTGTGCATGATTCCATGGTAACGTGCTTGTGAGTGATTAAGCTTGTTCTTATTCATCGATCAAAATATTTGTTGGTCAACATAAAACGTAGTTTTGGCTTCGCTTATCCAAGTTTCCCACTTAGTTATGGGTGATTTCCTTTATTTCTTATTTGTTTGGAGCAGTTAGTTTGTGGGAAGATATTCAGTTTTAAGAACATATTTCTCTTTAAATGTGATATGATCTAGTGTTTGTCATTCCCTCCACATAATATTTTCTTAGTGTAATTGCTTTTTGGAGTATTATCGAAATTTCCCAAGAATTGATGATGGAACTATAGGATTTCTCCATCCCTTACCAACTCGTAACTTTATCTGGACTCACCAGAGGGGAAACATGCTTTTTCCTTTATTCTTGATACACAAATGGGAGAAAAAGATGGAGGATGCAGTCTCTTTTATGGTTTAGGAACTTATCCAACTCTTCATCTACTTCCTACTGCCTAAAGTAAAAGCACGTACCATGAGGATGTTCATCAGTAAGACTGCATGCCATTAATCCGTCTGAACTGTGATGTAAACATAAATCAGCCATGAGGCAGTACCGTATCGCATTCTAATTATTTGTATGAACCCCTTGTAAGTGAATTTTAGAATTACTTTGAAAATTAAAAATAAATATCCGGTTCATGAACTTAAGTATTAAGTAAGGGCTTATAGATTTCAAAGTTGAGCACCAGCGTAAGAAAACAGATGTAATAGTTGCTTTTTGCTGCTTAATGACTTAATGAGCGCTGCGAACTTATTTGGAAGTATGGTGGGGTTTAGGGAATTATTATTTAGGTTGTGATTAAGTCTGTGTGCAACAGAACACTAAATCATACTTGACTGTTCGCATTTTGGCCATAAGTTCGTTATTTTTGAGAGATACAGGTGGACGGAAAATCCGTCAGAATTAGCAAACAGTAGGAAAAGACCGTATAAGAAATCATCTTATTCGATTTAATCGTAATTGTAATCGAAATTCAGCATAACCTATATATGACTAGCATCATCCTTTTAGTAATTCATAGATCCCTAGAATGACCGCATAGTCATTTCCAAGGCTGTTAGTCACTTCTAAGTCATTTCAAAGTAGCTGAAAAACGGCGGAATTTTATCGTTCCATCAAGTTCATCTGTCTTGCTTAAGGGATGGATCAACTAAAGAAGTTCTTTCATATCAGCCAGAAGTCTTTGGATGGATTTCTAAAAGTCAGTTATCTGTCTGCTAACATGTGTAGCAATATGTGCTAAATACTTCTTATTTAACAAATACTGGTTGTTATAACCACACGTTCCGTATGCAAGGGACTGTTTATTTCATCAGGTACCTGCTCCAGCTCATATGGAAAGTTGTTTTGTTCTGTGATATTAATTCATTTTTGGAACTTATCACCAGTCGAGTGAGGTCAACTGTCAGTGTCATGACTGTTAATTCACTCAGCCATATTAGTGTAGTGCCTACCTAAGTTAAAATCAGTAGAGTAACTATCATATATGTAGACTTGTGTTCGACAAATCTGCATTATAGAACAGTGGTGGGCAGCGAAGGCTAAAGCAATGGAAAAGGCAGCGGCGATTGGTAACAGTAAACAGTTACTTAGACTTATTAAGGGAACTGGGGGGAAAGGTTAACTATGGTTAGTGAAACTATAGCGCGGAAGGACGGGTCTGTGGTTCAATCGCAGAGGAGACGACTGAAACGATGGGTAGAACACTTCGAGGAATGGTTTAACTGACCTCCAGCTACCATTGCGTTGCGGGCTATCCAGTTGTATCCTGAACGGAACAGAGACAGGCCCCCTAACACTAGCAGAAGTCGAGAAAACTGTTGGTAACCTGGAACGAGGAAGGGCAGCAGGACCAGATGGACTAATTCCTGAGGTACACAAGAATGGTGGTAGAGTGCTCTTAGTCAGGTTAACGGAAGTGGTAACTAGTATATGGGAATCAAATACGATCCCCCCTAACTGGCCTGGATCACTGATTATTTCAGTCTTCAATTAAGACGAGATGTCCTCTAGTGGTAACCACAGTTTAATCAGCCTGACGAACATAGTGTCTAAGATTCTAGGTTGTATAATTCTTCGACGCCTGAGTGGAGCTCAGGAACAGCAAGCCCGAGAAAACCAAGTAGACTTTAGACCCGGCCGCGGGTGTACCCACCAAATATTCACACTGCGCCAGGTTCTGTAACACAGGCATGCATGCCGACGCCCGACAGTAGCTGTATTTCTCTACCTGAATGCGGCATTCGACTCCGTTGATCGAGAAGTCTTATGACAATGTCTCTCACTGAAAGGCGTGCCGAGTAAGTCCATCACCTTATTGAGGGCTCTCTACTCGAACACTTGTGGGCTTGTTAGAGCCTATGGTGAGATGTCCGAGGAACTGTGCTCATCGAGTAGTGTCCGTCAAGGGTGCCCACTCTCTCTATTTTTATTCAGTTTTATCATAGATACTCTTATGGAGGTCTCTCTCGTGTCACCTGACTACATAGAAGTTGAACTAATCATGGGAGATTTTTCGTTAGACCTAGGACATGCAGATGACAGTCCTGTTAGGTAAAGACGCTGACAAGATGCAGTCTTCTGGACACAGTAGCGATTTGAGAATGTTTGGGGTGCGTTTCTCACCACCCAAATGCAAATTGTTGCTCCAGAATTGGTCTTCAACGGTGCCTCGGCTAACAATAGAGAGTGTAATGGTTGAGTGTGCCGACCACTTCACTTACCTGGGAAGTAGGGTCAGCTCTGGTGGCTGGCTCAGTGGCCGATGAAATCTCTGCACGAATACAAATGGCTTGGTTGGTTTTCGCCAACTTACCCCATCTGTGGCGTCGCTGTGATATCCGATTGTTTATTAAGGGTCGCATGTACTGCACAGCAGTACGATATGTTCTACTGTATGGCTGTGAAACATGGCCGTTGAAGGTGGAAGACATGAGAAGGCTTCAAGTGTTTGACCACCGTTGCCTTTATAGTACAGGCCGTATTCCGTGGTATCACCACATGAGTAACGCAGAAGTCGTGCTCAGGTGTAGAGTTTTAGGGAGAAGAGGTAAGTCAGTTGATGAGGTTATGAACATTCGTCGTCGCCTAGTCGCCGATTGCCTCGTCACACAGTGTTGGCCAACGTAAGCTCAGGCTGTAAAAAGGCTCGAGACGGCCAGACTAAAACATGGCACCAATGTATGAAGTCTTTGACTGTTGGTTTGAGCCACGTGAAGCGATGCAGACTAGCTGGTTGGTGTCCGCAGGACAAGAGAAATCAGTGGTTGGAGACTGACTGTAGGTGATATGGCTGAGAACCGATATGAGTGGCGCAGATGTATACACGTACACACATTATCATCTTAACGACTCTATACTGAATCTCACCATTTTCTCATTCTTCCTTCTCTCTTTTCGTACTTTATATTTCTTTTGACTGAATTCTCTTTTCTTCATCTTCCACTTCACTCCTTTTTTACTTGATATGAGCTGTGGCAAGTTGGACCATTACGCAGTAATGACTGATCCTATTTTGATTTGGATGGATGCATCACAGAGCGATATCAACTAAAAACGAAGGGGAAATACGTGCTAATTTACGGTTCCTTAGCGATACGTACCACAATTCCTACTCATTATTTGGATCGGTATTTCTTATTCTTACGGTAACTATTAGTATAGACTGTGGTGGTCTGGGTTTAGAGTCAGCACGACAAAGTCGTCTGTCATATTCAGTCTGATGTGTAAATTTAGGGCGGTAACCTGGAATTTCAAAACAGAAGCCATTGAAAATTTGCATCCACTGTATATTCAATGGTTGTTACATAATTCCTTCAATAAACCCCGTCAAGATATGCTTAAGGTTTCGGAAAGACAATTATTTTATTCTTGAGTCACTAAAAAGATGGGTATGTAGTTGTGTTTATAAGGCCGTCTAGTGAATATGATGTTTGTATGATCAATAAACCCTCCTTGGATAAACTTTTCACGAAAAGCTAGTACTTTACTACCCATTTTTCTGCAGAATATGTGAAGACATTTAATAAGCTTCAAGCAAACTTTGGTAAAGCACTTAACATTACCAATTATGATGCGTTAAAACGTAAAATTCACTTGAAAATGTCCAAAGTAATCCTTGTTTTAGAGTATTTAAGGCAAACTTAGTCTTTCGCAGCGTTTCGGAATCATGCAGTACAAACAATACTGTCGTATTTCGTACAACAGTACATAGCTTTAAGTTATCACAGTTCTCAGCAGGATAGTTAAAAATTGGAAAAGCAATGACTAAAATGGACAATAAACACATTGTTGATTATTATTATTATTATTTTTCCCTTGGGTTCCTGGTGGAACATAGGGCTTCAGTAGCACTGCTCCATTGCACTCTGTCCTCTGCAGTCTTTTCAACCTGACGCCACGACTGCCCACAAGCTTTCATTTTTTCCTCACATGACCTCCTCCATGTCACCCTTGGATGCCTAACTCATCGTTTCCCATTTGGGTTCCATTTGAGGGCCTGGTGCGTGATGTCCCCAATCGGTCTTCTCATTGTATGCCTAATCCAATCCATCTC